TCCGTGTGTGTGTGTGTGTGTGTGTGTGTGTGTGTGTGTGTGTCAGCGTCGGGGGATGAGTCTCCGCTGTGTGTCCGAGGGAGAGTGTGACCCGGTGTGTGCACAGTTAGGGCTCTGCTGGGTGCGTCTGTGCCACAGCGTGTGTGTGCGCGTCTCCACGCATCTGTTTGTCCGTTGAGCGTTGTGTCAGTGTGTCTGATGCGGGGAGGGGGCATCTAGGTTTGGGGGACTTGTGTGTCTGCCTCTGGGTTGTCTGTGTGTGTGTGTGTATGTGTAAATGAATGTGTGTAGGCCCCAGGTGTGTATATTTGTGTGTCCATGTATCTGTCTCTGGGTTGTCCTGTGTGTATGCGTGTAAACGAGTGTGTCGGTGTGTAGGCCCCAGGTGTGTATATGTGTGTGTCTGTGTGTCTGTCTCTGGGTTGTCCTGTGTGCGTGTGTAGATGAGGGTGTGATAACTGTGCATATAGGTCTGGGAGCGTGTAGCCGTGTGTCTGCGTGTGTTTGTCTCTGGGTGTGTGTGTCTTGAGTGTGTGTCCTGGGGGACAGCCTTTGTGGACCTGCGGTGGCCGCGCACTGGTCCCTGGCTGTGCGGGCTGTGTGTTGCTGCCAGTGTGTGTTTGTGTGTCTGGGTGTGGGAATGGCGCCGCCCACTTCCCCTGAGTTGGTCACCGAGGCCGCAGCCGGCTGTCTCGGGTGTCTCCAGCGGTCGCTGGGGCCTTTAATTAGCGGCCGGGTGGGGAGGGCCGCCCCTCACTCTGTGGGCCGCTGGGGCCTTTGTCTGCACTGGGGCAGAGGCTGCCTCCGCTGGGCCAGATGTGCAGCCCGAGGAGGCCGAGGGCCCCGGCCGGTGGGGGCCTCTGCCGGGGCAGAGAGGCCTGGGCCGCCACAGGGACAGCAATGGCCCTGTGCATCCCTCTCCCAGCCGCCGGGGAGGTCCAGACCGGCGTCGAGCTGAGGGTCCCTCGAGGGTCCCTCTAGGGTCCCTGGGATGGGATGGAGCCTCCGTCTCCCAGCATTTCCTCCTCCACCCCAGCACCCTCCCCCACGCTGGCCACCTCCCGCTGCCTTCTGGGAGGAGGGGCTAGGGGAATGGCCAGGCCTGGGTGCCGACACTTACTTGATCACACACACACACACCACGGCTTAGATCCCTCCGTGACATCCTGTTACGACCTCCATCTGCTGTCGCCTCATGGGGTCTCCCGGACGCTTGCGTCCCCCCGGGCTGTCACAACTCTCTGCCGCCCTACGAACCGGGCCCAGCACGGGACACCAGTGAGCCCTTTCCAGACCCCTGTCCTCCCCACCCCATTGTGCGCAGGTGACTCCCCTGCCCTCCCGGCACCCCCCATCTGAGCCAGGAGCACCAGAGGTGGGAGATTTTTGGGAGGACAGGGTGAGGACTGAGATGGGGTCTGGCTAGGGCCAGAAAGAGCCTTGCAGGAGACAGCCAGGGCACCAGGCCTGCCAGGGCAGGAGAGGAGGGTCAGAGTTGGTGGGGGTGGAAGCAGCGTCCAGCCTCACTTGCGGTGAGAATGCTGTCACCTTGAGGTGGGGGTGGATTGAAGCAGGAACGGGGTCAGGAAGCCCCACCAAGAAGGGCTTTGGTCTCAGAGTTGGTTGAGGCCCCCAAGGAAGAAATGGAGGGAGCAGAGTCAGTTGGGGGGTGCATTAGAAACAGAGGAAAGACAGAGTTCAAGAGGTGGCTGTGGGGGGGGGCAGAGTTTCCTCCGAGACCCCTGACCTACAGACCCAGCTCCGTGCTGAAGGCCGGCCTGGCTCGTCCTCTCTGCCCGGTCCCAGCCCAGGCTCCAGAGAAGAGGCAGCTGAGGTCCGCAGAGGCCCAGGCGCAGGGAACAGCCGAGGGAAGGATCTCCACAGGGGCCCAACACCGCCGCCAACTGAAGCCCCCAAAAGGTAAAAGAAAAAATAACAACGACCAAAAAGTCTGTGAGTGAGCTCCCCATCGCCGAAGGGGTCCAATCGGAAGTGGGGTGGGTACGTCCAATGTGGGTGCGTCGGCAACTTGGAGAAAGCTTGGCTCTCTCCCTCGGGGGCCGAACTGCCCTGTTTGGGGATTGACTCTCAGACTTGGCCTCTGAGACTTGGCCAGGCCGCAAAGAAAACAAGACAGTGTGTGATTAGGGGGATTTTGCACAGAGGAGGAGGGTGGAGACAGGAGGGCGGGGGAAGAGGGTTTGGCACCGGTGGTGGCGGCCCCAAGTGGTGTCTGCGGCAGGCTGGCCGGGGCAGATGCCGGAGAAACTGAGACCTGCCCGGTGGGCAGCCCAAAGTTGCAAGGAGGAATGATCTGAGCCGAGGAAAGGCAGGAGGGGTCTCGGAGACAGGGACCACCGTGTGGGGTTTCCAGCCCAACTAGTGGGGCGAGGGGAGCTACCAGTGACTGAGAATCCCAATCAAGTGGTCCTCCTGTCTCAGCCTCCTGAGTAGCCAAAGCTGCAGATGCCTCCACCATGTCCAGCTATTTTATTTTATTTTTTTCAAGATTAGAGACAGGGTCTGGTCATGTTGCCCAGGCTGGTCTCAAATTCCTGGCCTCAAGCGTTCCTCCCTCCTCAGTCTCCCAAAGTGCTGGCATTACAGCTGCCAGTCCCGGCCTCCATTGATATCTTCTAAAGAACATGTCACAATCTGAACTATCCTCCATTTGCTTGTCTGTGGCCCCCAAGACACTGACCCTGGGGCCAGAACAGCGGGAGAGGGGACTGTCCTCATTTGCAGCTGTGGCTGTTACCTCCAGAGTCCAGCCCAGGGAACCCAGATTTCACCACTTCCTAGGCATATGACCCTAGGCAAACTGTCACCTGCCCCCCCAGTCTGTTTTTTTTGTTGTTGTTGTTTTGTTTTTGAGTTGGAGTCTTACTCTGTCACCGAGATTGGAGGGCAGTGGCACACTCACGGCCACCCCAGCATCGACCTGCTGGGCTCCGGCGACCCTTCTGCCTCAGCCTTCCAGGTAGCCAGAACTACAGGCGCGCACTACCACGCCCGGCTAAT